TCGACTCGTAATCTGCGGGTCGCAGGTTCGAATCCCCGTCACACCAAACATGTTAGACCTTTCAGCCGTAGGGGCGTTATAATGTGACGGTCAATCCCACTATTTGTTGATAAAATAATAGCCCAAGAGTTGGCGGTGGGTGGTGATGACTAGCTGCCTTCCCTCTAGTCTTACCCTGCTAAATTAGGGACGGCTAGCACAGATAGCCCTCGTGTAGCTTTGCGTGAAATTCAAAACAAACAATCAATTGACTTGGATTGCAAACATAGTTAGCGGGAGTTGATCCTATTCATTGTGTAAATAGTCGTTGATTCTCTTAGTACTATATTTTGCCTGGTATAATCTCTTCCACAGTTAAAAAGAACTGTGATCATTTTGTGCACCCGTTAAATGTGTTTGTCTTTCTATTAGGCTATTGAATAAATAGTGTTCTGCTTTACTGCCAGGCTTGTTTCCTGTCTTTTTCTTCCATTCAGTGAAGTCATATTTCAGATTAATTATTCAACTCATATTCTGCCGAGCCTACAGTTAGAAAAGGTGCTATTCTCAGGCTAGTATGCAGAATGTTTGAAAAGACGGTTCTAATTTGCGAGATAGAAATCCAACACATATTGTGCCGAGGACACTCAGCATGCTAATGCTATGGAGGTCTGAGGTCATACGACTATTTCAAGCCAAAAGATGCTAATGCTTCATCAGAAGGACGTAGACTATGTAAAAAACGTTAAATACCTTAAGCAGATGCGCTATAACTACATAAGTATAATTTCTTTTACTTCACAAAAATAGGGGATTTCGCCAAATCCACCTGCGTACATGTGTGATTCTTACCTTTAGAAAATCAGTATACCTTATAATATTTCACCTGAAAGAAATCAGTGCTGTTGAACATACTACTCTACTATCCTGCTAGATGGTTCCAGTACCAAGGTTAAGCTAATTCAAGTTTGTGGACACCATGTTTGTCTAGATCTAGCAACCAAGTGAAGGCACATATAATAAAATTGAAAAAAAAATCATGTGAATAAACATGTATTCATATATTGTGTACAAATTTAATAGCGAGCAAATGATGAGTATTTTGCTAGTTTTTATTGTGAGAATTTTAAATTGGCCATCTTTCCTATCACCGAATGTGCTTGCCCTTTCATCCATAGGGACATTATAATGCAACAGCCAACAGGATATCTAGGAGTCTATTCCACTATTCTATTAGAGTAGCCCAAAAGTTGGTGGTAGGTGGTGTTGACTAGTTGCCTTCCCTCTAGTTAATAACTTGTAAATTAGGGATGGCTAGTACAGATGGTCCTCGAATAGCTATACAGCAAATTCAACAAACAACTAACCCTGTTCCTTTGTTTTCTGTTTATTTATTTAATATTCTTACACGTGTATTCTGTTAACCTTTCTTCGAAGTTTTATGCTTTATTTAAGCAAACACTTCATCTTCACTGTTATCTATTTTAATTTCATATAAACAAACCCAGAACCTTACCCTGGCAAAGAGTATATTGCAGAAAATGATCAAATCGTTATCATTCTTCTCTAGATGTAGCCTTGTCCATTAAAACTGTTCTTCAACTGAAAACGTTAATATCTTTGTTTTGTACACATTAATAATATTTCCATTAATTGGCAATTGAGGTGCTTTACAGAATTAATTGCCAAAGAGCCCATACTCACACATATGTATATATATAAGAAAACAGATTTGCAGTTTCAAAATAACACTGAAGTGATAATGAGTCACATTGAGTATCATAAATTATTTGTTGGTTACTGATACTCACGCAAAGCTACACAAGGACTGTGTTAGCTGTTCCTGATTTTAAATTAATAGACCACAAGGAATACAGGTAGTTAACAGCACCCATCACTAGCTCTAATCGATTAGTGAGCTTTGACTATAACACTCATAGCACAACAACAACAACCCCAAAGTGTAGAGCTAGATTTTATAGCAGCTGGGACACGAAATATTAACTCTCAGGTTCATAGTTCAGCCTGTTAACTACTATAGGTCGGGTTTTATGTATATCTGTGGGCTGGGATTCTAGTACAGTAGGTGTCTGCAACTTGTTGGTGATAAAATCGAACAATAAATGGACATCACACAATCCACTTGTTTTAAAATAATATATATTCAGAACAAGACAAATATATGTACAAAAATTATTTACACTATAGGATATCACAGTTTTACCTAAAACTCTAAATAATTATCTTTTCTTGTAAATAGTTCACACAGTTTGATTCAATTACTTTAGAATCCAATTGACAAGACAATTATTTTCTCTACTCTTATCACACTAGTATCAGTGAATAATTCACTTATGTTACCAAGTGGGTTTCCATAGTTGTATCCTGAACCTTAAATAATTGTCTCCTTTTCGTCAAAGTCCATACAGATGGGTTCAATTACTTTACAACACCCTTTGGCAAGAAAAAAAAATATTCTCCTTAACTCTGTCAAACTCACTTTAAAATATAGCCCGTTGTGGCTAAACTACCAATAACCCAGTCTAGGTCTGTTTAATTATCTCTCACTTGACTTAATTTTTCTCTACTAACTTGCGCTCGCTAGTCACCTATATATATATCTTGTTCACTGAGACCTCGAACTTTCTATAAACTAATCGAGCGACGAGATAATGTAATAATACTCACTTACGGTAACGAGAAAAATACCGAAGATTCGAGTAACGTGATGTCAATAATATTAGTAAAGCATAGACAACAATATAATTGTAAACACAATGTACGACTCGGAATTTGTCACAACCAACACTTTTAAAACACTCAATCTTCAACACTCCTGTCACGAAAACTAAACAATCATTAAACATTATGTCACAAAATGAACTAAATAACTAACTAAATTATGTTTGTTTGTAATTAGGAACAAAGCTACACAATAGGCTATGTGTGCTCTGCCCACCACGGGCATTGAAACCTGGTTTCTAGCGTTGTAAGTCCGCGGACATATCACTATGAACTGTTTATGAATGTGTTTCATTAAAACAAAAAGTTTTGAATCTTACTTATCTCATGTCGTTAAATATACTTTGAACAAAGCTATATATATTACGAAAAAAAAAAAACTATTATTACTTGATCTTCTTCGGATGAAGAATATTTAGTGTGCATTATGGAAACTAGTGTCTCCGTTATATTATTTAAAGAAAACGTTTCATGTTGCTAATCGTATACCGACAATGTTAGAGCTATCTAAAGCTCACTATTTTTTATATGATCATCCAATGTCTGAAAGGTGTGTGGGTGTGTTGCTGCTATTTTAAAGCAAAGCTACATAGTGGGTTATCTGCGCTCTTTACATCGAGGGGGTGGAATCCCCTATTTTAGTTAGTTCATAAATTTACCACTAATCTAGTGAGGGTACTTGGAATGTGTACGTTAAATTAAGAATTCCAATTCATATTTATACAGATAAATATCATTTTTGAAATTTTCAAACTCAACGTATTTAATATTTCCAACTCAGTTTCGATGTAGTTGACAAGTGAGAGCTTTGAATATGCATATGCCCATGTTACGCCTAAAGATTTATCTATATATATCAAAATTGCAGTGTGGCAATTACGTTGTCACTAAAAAAATATTTCACATTATAATTCTTAGCGTGGATTTAATACTCTTCATTTCATCTACATTTGAAAAGAAAATATTCTGGAGGAAATTTTAATATTTTTGTCACCAGAGACGTCGCTAGGTGCTTAAAAGATTCGGGGATCGGGCTCGTAGGTGCGGGAATTTTCGGCGTTTCAGTATGATCTCGATTCTGATTTTTCAAGACATCAACTAGGGATTCAATTAGAATTGAGACACGGGCCTCGAGTGCCAGTGCCTTGTCACAGTGTGTAAATACGATAGACATGTGTCGCTTTTTAAATCGTATATCGCTTTCGACAGGGTTTAATTAAACAAATAATCGTCTTTTTTTCATTTTGTAAATGACTCCAAAATATTAAACGTTAGACAAAAGTTTTATGTATTATTTACAGCATTTCGAACAAAAACAACTGAAACATTTCAATTTACATTAAGACATTCTCTGTTATCATTATATTGTTACGTCTCCGTTTGTTAATTAACTTTCCGTAACTTCGTTCCGACGAAACTTTAGCGACACAAGTTCTTTACTTAATAAAACTGGTTTATTCTTTCCGAATACAACTTTACCGATACACTCAACTTCAACAATCGCGCTAAACAAACGCTATAACAAAGAACGTCAATAATACTTCTGACCGCAGATCAATTACTCACTATCTATCCACACATTACATTCCCCCTCTTATATATATACCCAACTACCCTATATCTAGTAAGTACTAGAGCATTCGCCAAAGTACATGATAGTTCTAG